TCGAGAGACTTGAAACCAGTTGAACAGTGAGACTGTTTTTTCAGGAAGGAAGCCGTGCTCGTGTCGAAATGACCCGAGTCGCCCCTTCCTTTCTATCTTTTCTTTCCTTTTGGAGAATTTTTCTTCGCTGAACTTTTTCGCAGCCGTTTGTGTGTGTGGGGCGTCCGCGCGGGAGCCATGTTGTCGTTTGAGGGCAGCTGCATCGCTGCGCTGGCGTTGTATGGCGCGCTGAGTTTGCTTGTGAAGCTTTTTGGCGCTGCTGGAATGGCGAAGAGCCTTTTGGGACAGAAGAGGATGATGGCCGATAAGCCAGAGGGGTGAGAGAGAGAGAGTCTCTTTGAATGCCGCTGCTTCTTCAGGTGCTGCTGCTTCGAGCGCTGCTGGCCGGCCGAGTGGTGTTGAGGACACTGCAACCTCCGAGTGGATGAAGATGAATGCAGTGAACAGGTACCTGAGGTTTTTGTGACTTCGACTGGGTCCAAATTCCACCTTGACCGTCAATGCCAATACTTGCGAGGCAAGAAAGTCACCTCTTTTGGTTTGTGTTTGTGTAGCTGCTGTGAGCGCAAGCGTTTACTGGAACAGCGAGTGACCACTGTCCAAAGTGGCATGTGAGCTTCGAAAGGGTGTGAGAACTCATAGTACAACAGTACTGAGGAGCGAAGACTCCATACCACTTGTTTAGAGACCGCAAAGAAAGTTTTTGAGGAGCGGAGACTCCCTACGACTTGTTTGAATGACGTTCGTTACCTTTTGAGGACATTGAAAGATCCCTTTCAATGTTTCCATATGTTTGTAGTTTGTTTATGAGGTGTCCGAGAACACCCGAAGATGTTTAGACTATGCTCTTAGTTGTTTCCAACTGTTTTGAGAACTGTTGTGAAGCGTTGAAGTGTTTTGAGTATGGTTTTGCGTGTCCACAAATGTCCCGAGAACATTTGTGAACCTTGGAGAACGTTCGTCACTTTGGCTCAAGTGTGCGGCGAAAAGTGTGCGTGTCTTTTGCCTGCTTTTTCTTCCGTTTTCGACTCGGGTCGTTGAGATACTTGACTGACAGGTGTTTTGAGCACGAGAGCTTTTGATTTTTCGTCAAGAGCTTGTGTGTCAAACTTTCACGTTGAATGCTTTAAGCTCGATACCTCCGGTATCTCGCATGGAAATCGCTTGTTGCAGGAATGTCCCTTCATAGCCGCTTTCGAACTTTACCTTGGCTCAAGGCCCAGAGTGCGCGTAAAAGGTGCGAGAGTGCTTTCGCTGTGCTTGTGAGTTGTTGCACGTGCTTTTGCTTTGTGTTTAGGACGTTTGTAATCTACTTACTTAAGGTAGTAGGTTTTTCAGGGGTTGTCTTCTTGAGTGGGATCACGGTTGGGACGGTGCCCAGGCCATCTGGGACACATGTAGCGTAGCCTTTAGGTCGAATTGCCCTGTGAGGCTTTGTACCATTTTGCCAACCTTGAGAACGTTCACTTCCTCAGATGGCAAGCTTCGGGGTTCTGTAAAAAACAGGGTGCGGAGTGCTGGGTGCTGGAGCTGGTGCGTGCCGCTAGCTGGTGTGCAGGTGCTCACTGCTGGTGCTGACAGTGTTGTGCAACGCCAACCGCCGCTTCTGAACAATGAAGTGCAGCACTCATGGGCAGCATGAACTTTTGCGTGCGACTGCAGTGTGGGATTTTGCATCTTCAGGTTCTGTTTTTGGCCGACTGTTTGAGGCTGCGCGCGTGACGTGCCCACAACAGCCTGAATTCCACAATCTGTTGACATGCGACTGGAACAAAGGTGCGCAGCCAGCTTGCAGAACCCCCGCAAGCGGGCAACCAGCTGACCAGCACCGGTGCGAACAATGGTAAAAAAGTGCCTGATGATTGGAAGATTCAACGTTTGATTTGCAGGCATGGGCTCCGACAATGTGAAGAGCAGAAGCGACGAGCGCTGGTCGATTCTGCGACATACTTGCAACAAAGTGAGCAAAGCGAGCAAAGACATTGCCAGCAGTTGAATTCACAGGTTGGCTTGCGAAATCTGGTGCTTCCAATCGCATTGGGCAATGGAATTTTGCCGCGTGCGGAAATTGACGATTGTTCAAAGCGAACCTACCAGAGTATCTCATTACTTTTTGCTCGAAAGTGGATTGGTGGCTTGCCCCATTTTTGGGCAATAAGAAGGCCGTTTTGTTGGCAAAATTTTCGGCCAGGCGCAAAACGTGGCTTTGCCTTTGGTTCTTGTGGAGTTAGCAGCGCCGCGAGCAATTTCTCCGCACCATGCGAACATTAATGTCCACATCTTCTTGAACGAGCGCTGTGCCTGCGTCTCATCGACTCTCTTGAACTGGTGTCCTGCGCCTTCCGTTTCCTTTGCGACATTTGCCTCCGACCTCGCAACGCGATGGAAAAAGTTGCGTGTGTGCTCTCACGTGTGTTCCCATGTGTTTGCTCATGACTGTGTGCTCACATGCGTGTGCTCTAGAATGTGGAGGTTGGTATATTCACGCTTGACTTCTTGTGTTGAACACTGCTCGGAGTCTCTTGCCGGAATAAGGTGAAAAATATCAGGAACCCCCGCATGCGATTTTTTGTGTGTATAACATTTTGTGCATATGTTTTTGGAGTTAAGTTGTCAGAGTGCGACACAAACAACTTGTTTTGGTGCACTTTGGCGCATTTGCTGCAACTTGAATGTTTTTTGTTATACTTTGGGGGTGGTGGGTCTTGCAAGCGGTGGACGAGATGTCGTTACAATTTGACATGCGCGTCCATGTTTGGTTTTCGGGAGAGACATTTTTTTGATCTGCAAGTTGGAAGACTACATGATTGGCGGAGGGATGCGTCGCCTTGCTTGTTTGCGGGCGGGCGGGCTTGCTTGCTTGCGTGCTTGCGTGCTTGCGTGCTTGCGTGCCTGCCTGCCTGCCTGCCTGCCTGCCTGCCGCCTTTTTGCGGCCTTGTCCTCTGTTGCTCTGTTTTGTTTGCGACCGACGTTTTCCCGACGAATCGCTAGACGTGGTGACAGGTGCTGGGACAGGCGCCGCTTGCTGGATTTTCTGATGCTGTCCTCCATCCAAACTTGGGAGACAAGGCGGCAGCGGCAGCCAAAAGCGAAATCATGAAGGGTGACAAGCTTGGGAGACAAGGTGGCAGCGGCAGCCCAAAGCGAAATCATGAAGGGAGACAAGCTTGGGAGACAAGGCGGCAGCGGCAGCCAAAAGCAAGATCATGAAGGGAAACAAGCTTGGGAGACAAGCCGGCAGAGGCAGCCAAGAGCGAAATCATGAAGGGAGACAAGCTTGGAAGACAAGGCAGCAGCGGCAGCCAAAAACAAAATTTTGTTTGCTTAAGGGAACTTGAAAGATTGTTGAAAAAATCCATCGAAGCTGAATTTGGTTGGACGTAGGTTGTCAGTGCAAAGTGTGGGCAACTGGCATCTTTTGACCATTGTGAATCACGAAACAACTTTACTGCCCACTGCCCACCCATTTTCACGGTCCGATTCGTGTTACGTTGTTGTTGCTCAAGAGATCAACAAATCTCCCGCCGGATGTTGATCAAACGGCTATGGTGCTTGGAGGTGGTGATGGTTATCAAATGATTGGTCCGTTTCGCGCGTCGTGAACCAGCCAATCATCGCCCTCATCACGGAAAAATTGGGCTTCAATGTCTCAGATCCCTTGGCTTGACTGGTATCAAAATTATTTCCAACTCGCGGTTTCCAGCCTCATTTCAGAGTCATTTCATTCGATTTGAAACTGTGATGTCAAAAACACAAACACGGACAGGACTCGAGGCGGTCGGTCGGTCTGTCGATTGCTTGTTGTGTTCGGTCAAAGAGTCTACGAGAACAAGCAGTTGATACATGGGTTCGAGCAGCCAAAGCCGAAAACTCTGAAACCATGGTGGTTGAAGAGCCCAAAGCAAGACACCCTTTTTAATGGGGGTTGGCTGGAAGGTCCCTCCAGAGTACCGGGGGTTGACACACTTTGACCCTCCAGAAAGACATGTGTCGATGAACAAACTGCAGAAATCAAGAGGTTTTCCCTGAGGATGAATAGGGTTGGTTTCGGTGGAAAGAAGTAATTCCTCAGGTGCCTTGGTCGTCCTGGCGGGTGCGCTCCCGGGCAAGTGCTATGGATTGACGCTTGAGAAGGACTCTTGGAGCTGTTTCGGAAAGCGACATCCTCTGAGTGCAAGAATTCAGGCTACAAATAAAGGAAATTTCTATGGAGAATGTGTAGAATTGTCAAACCATAGTCCAGGAGGCAAATCTATATATTTATTCATCAAATTCCAATCTCTGGCTAGCTGGGTTGTTCATAATATTAAACGTAAGTTTGACAAAGGCGAACAGTTGCGAATTAGGAAGAAAGACTGAACTCCGTGTTGGGGATGTCCACTACTCTCACCCTTTCTCCATGGCCGGATGAACATCAGTGGCCCATGATGCAGGAGAGCTAAAACTCTTGTCCGGACCCCGGACTGGCGCCCAACAGATGCGCCCATACGGCGCTTACGGCGCACCGATGTGCTGACCACCGGAGTGTCATAAAGCTTTGGCAATTGGTGCTCTGCTGCAACTGGTCAACCACCAGTTGGAAAGCTAGATCAGTTTGTAGATGTTTGGGAAAGATAGGGCGTTTTGCATATCGATGGCATTGGCTGGTGAACTCTGGAAAAACAAAGCAAGGAATAAAACCGGCCTGGCTAAATCTATGCATGAACGTATGCAGCAAAAATTGAACATTGACTGGCCAATATCGCAAGTCTGGATCCCTGAAAACAGTAGAACATGGTATATGGATATTGTACTTGCATTCTCTATGATACGAGCGTTTGGGCAGGGGCCCCACCCGTCCCACCAGCTCACCGCAGCATGGATTTCGATCTCCCCAAGGTTCCCAGTCTTCTTGAGATGAGTCTGGTCGAGTTTAACCAAATGGACGGAGTGAACAACCATAGCAACGGCAAACCAAGAAAACAGCAAGTCTTTTTGGGCAAAAGCCACCTGTGGTAGCCATGGCGGATGATGGTCAGACGGCTCACTTTACGAGCTTCCTGGAGGTCTTTGACCACTGGGCACAGGCGGGAGGTCACAACATGCAGTGCTCACGCCGGCTGGAATATGCGCACTGTTCAAATATCGACTTCTTTGGGTTCTGGCTTGACTTGTAGCACGGTTATCCAGGACCCACCATAGGTTCAACATTAACCCAGCTTGATTTGAAGAAGCTTGAACCACTGGTGTATTGCTTGTCGCTTTATGACTCATTGGATCAGCCCTCATGGCGGCCACTTCTCACCAGGTGCGCCCCACCTGCTGCGCTGTGCGTGACTTGCGCGGAAGAGCACTCACTTGGGCGGAGCTGCAGGAGACCTCGGTGCTGGTGGCAAGCCATGTACAGCAGCTTATGGAGGCGAGGCTGGGGGCATCACTTGTGGAAACCAAGTGTGCCAAACTCAAGTTCTTCTGTACTGGCTGGGTTGGAACGTGTCAAGACTCAAAGGTCCTCCGGATGAAGGTCTTCTCCTGTCAGACCGAACCTGATCTCCATTGGACCCGAAAAAGGGATGCGTCGAGAGGATGAACCCATTCTGGCTCTCTCGCTCTGCTCAGGCTGAGGCAATCGAGGTCGGGGCCATTCTGTCGCGACGCTGCCCATGGTGGTTGGCGGCCACAGTGGCCCTCATGCGCTGTGGCATACCCTTCGTGTGGATGGGTTGCGAACTCTCCAAAGGTCGAGAGAAGGAGCGGATTGAGAAGGAGTTTCTCTCCAAAGGTCGGGATCCAGGGGGAAAAAGGGTGCTGCTCACTGGGTTTCGTGTGCCCTTTCCATTCGTTCCACTCACTGCTCCCCTTCTTGGTTTTTGTTGAAGGAGAAGCAGCGCAACGAGGAGATCCTGCGGGTCCTACGTCCGCAGCTGCTCTTGCTGGGCGCCGAGCTGCCGCCCGACGCTGCCGAGCTGCTCCCCGAGCGCTTCGCCGGGCGCACGCTGCGCCTCGCCGAGCTGCGGCCGCTCGGCGCGTCCGCGCGTTCTCCGCGCGGGGCGCCGAAGAGGGGGTTGCTGTGCTTCCAGCTCACGGGGGGCACCACAGGACTGATGGTGGATAGAGGGCACCTGCGGGTGGTTGATTTGAAGAATCAGAGAAAGCAAGAAGAAATCAGAAAACAGGTTGTTGCAAGATAGGAAATCAGTTGTTGCAGGCTTTTTGCAAGGATGGTTTTCATCAAATCCTGATCATCTCAATAATGATGGTGCATATATTGGACCCCCTGAATCCCCCCAATGGCTCCGTTTGAGCGGTTGCACCGTGGAACCCGACGAAAGATTTTTAGCGCACCCGCCTATGCTCGCGATGTCTGCAGGATCTTCGAAGTGCGTGGAGATCACCGAGGCCATGGCGTTGCACGAGATCGCGGCCTATCCGAAGACCTTCCCCCAGCTGAGCTGTGAGGCGTCCGTGCCGACCGGCGACGACCCGTTCTGACCACCGCTCGCGGTCGCGTTGGAAGGAGGGGGAGCGGCTAAGGCTCAATGGGTTTGGAGTGGAGCTTGTTAACATGATGGTTCCTGATCCCAGTTTGGCAGATTTTATTGTTCCAGAAGTTTTAAATGTACGGTTGTAGGAGCCACTATGGACCAACAATATCTAATGGTCAGAAGCCGGACAGGGATCAGGTTTCAACCGACAACCGCCAACCGGGTGAACCGAAATCAACCGGCGGTTGGCCGGTTGGCCGGTTCAGCCGGGTAACCGAGAAGCGGCCAACCAAGAAAGAATCGGTAAACCGGTTAACCGCCGGTTGAACCGGAGGTTTCCCGGTTGCCCGGTTCAACCGGCCAACCGGATCAACCGCCGGTTGAACCGGCCAACCGGGAAACCGCCGGTTGAGCCGGCCAACCGGGAAACCTCCGGTTCAACCGGCCAACCGGGAAACCGCCGGCTGAACCGGAGGTTTCCCGGTTGCCCGGTTCAACCGGCCAACCGGATCAACCGCCGGTTGAACCGGCCAACCGGGAAACCGCCGGTT